AGCTTAAAAGAGCCAACGCTAGGTCTTAGTGAGAAACAGTTAATTCTATTATAAAAATATCGAATAAATGAAATTAATATAAAAGTGCTTTAGAACAAGTATAATAAAACGCAATAATTCGCTTGTATCGCATTAGAGAAGGTAGAAGAGTTCAAACTGAAACTAATTCATATGCCATTATTTATGTTGTTCAAATTATAAAAGGTAAAAATTGACTGAAAGAATTTTTTGAACCTACTTAGTATGCTGTATGTCATAGAACAAAGTACAAAACCGCCGTAATATTGGATGAGTTAAAAAAAATTTGACAAGTTACAACTAGAATAAATTAAAAATTCGTTAAAAGGTAATTTTAAAGAGTGAAAGAGGCAGATAACACGTGTTGTTTAATCTCAGGTTTGAACGTTAATGCTGGTTTTAACATATATTCAAAACGATGGGGGACAAAAAAGGAAGGATATCACAATATTAAGCAGTAGGGAAAGAGATGTTAGGAAACAACGGAAAATAGCGAAAAATTAATTTTCTCAGATTTTTTAAATTAACAAAGACGTTCTAATGATAAGATCGAAATGACGCGCTGCATGTCGCCGCAATTGTCGCGAGTGAAAGTCTTAACTAAGGGCTAAGAGATCCCGCAATGAACACACTCGGCGTGAGAACCACGGAGATTTTCACCCTTTTGTTGGGTCACCCAAACCGACTGTTAAAGTGGGAGGACGAATAGAGACGTGGCGTAAAGATCTGGCGGTACGATTGTAATAGCGGCTGACAGGTGAGGAGCAAGCGCTTGTTAGGACTTCACTATCAGTAACTGAATCCTTCGTAATCAGAACCTTGTTCTAATAAAACGAGTATTCACACCACAATTTTCGCAGCATTAATAATGCCGATCTATTTATCGATCGTATAATAACATATAAACTTCAAAAGAGAAAAAAATACTATAAATATGAAAAGTTTCACCAAAAAGTGATTATTTGTCATAATGTCATAATTTTTATTAATTATAAAAATATAACAAGTGCTAAATAAAAACTTGATAATTTTAATTGTGATTTTTCCATGTCTCATAATTTAACGTAAAACATTTTTTATTCGCCAAATTTAATCGCCAAATTTTGGAATTCAACTTTTTCGCGAACAGAAGCTAACAAATGTGCGAATCGCGATGATGAGCAGATTTATCCGCGAAGGATTCAAGCGTGGCTTGAGCGCGCGCGGTCGCAAGCGCGACTTTAGCGGCCGGCGAAGGCGGGCGAGCGGCAACGAGGCGCTTGACTAATGTTCTACCTGTTGTCCCGTAACACCTATGCGTCCTACCTGTCCGCTCACCTGGGCCCCGCGGGGGCCCTGCGTATACGCCGAGCGTACACGCGTGCATACACATGCGTGTATCCAGTTAGAAAAAAGGTGCTCCGTGCGCGGGGTTCAACTTGCGGGCCAGCTTAGCATTTCAATGCGCGAGACGGATTCAATGCCGCAGCGCGCGCGAGAGGGTACGCGTGAGAAAGAGGGAAACAAACAGATAGGCGACGAGGAGGGTACGAGAGGATAGGGGTGAGGAAAAGAAAGAAACGGCCACGTAAGAGAGTAAGCTTGACTAATGCCACCCGGGGCCGCGGTCGTCGTGTGATCATTACTCATTTGTCACCCGTTGGATCGGGGTCCCCGGGAATCGGCCGAAGAGGCCCCGTAGGGCCCCGCGTCGCGCCCCGTCGAGGACCAGCCATCTGTTGTGTTTATCGTTGCGCCAGCGCAATTGTTGTCTTTTGTGATCCGTAATTCTTATTGTTCATGTTTTCGGTAAATGCATATATGAATGTAATTCTTTCCGCGAGAGTTGCACGGTATAATTCACTATTAATGTTATTAATTAACTCAGAAAGAACTTGTACGGATCGAGGAGGATTCGAAGTTTCATGGCTTTCTTACGCCTATGAGTCATCGTTTGACAAATCTAACCGATTGTTAAGAGTAAAGGTAGTACAACCGCGCTATCGATAAGACCTCGCACTTACCTCCTGGAGAAGGCAGCCTCACAATGCGTGCAGCGATATCGCCTGTCTCCGGTGTGCAGCTTTACGTGACGATCGCGACTACGCTTGTGCTTGAACAATCTAGCGCACCAACTGCATCGATACGGCATCTGATCCCCGTGGCTCTGCAATCAATATAAAGCGTTCTGTTAGAGCTAACTTTTTGAATTGCAATTTTTTTGTTCACGGGACACAAAAATCTATGAATAAGAGTCGTAGCTACCATGGTCATATCAATACAAGTGAAAAATGTGATAATAAAAATCGTGTGTGTAACTTTCCAGAAAGATTATTAAATCTTTACGATATTTTACGAAAAATTAAGCTTATAATAATACGCTTTTAATATATGTACACATATTGTTATCTTCGCGTTATCTCTACGTAAAATTAGGTTCAGTTACAAAATAGAAAATATTTCAAGCAGATTTGTAACAACTAGTTTATGCTTAACATCTCAATACGCCGCGCAAAGTAGCGCAAAGAACCTCGTCGGGCGCGCCAGAAAAATCAGAAGAAGCTCATAGAGCGAGAAGAGGCTTTCTGTCGGCCGCGAGAACGCGTCACCCACCCAGATCACGGTGACCGATATGATCCCATACGGTCACCTCTCTTTGTGCCGCGTTCCCGCTCGCGTAAAACGCTCCTTGTGTGTCTTCGGGCACGAAACGGTGCCGGCGCGACAAGGTAAGTAAGCTCGGCACGTACGACGAGACCGAGCGGCCGACTTTCGAGCCGTCGGCTCCTTTGAAGAGACAATCTGGACGATGGGCGAAGCGATCGCCGCTTGGTCTTTCGCTCTAGGCCGGCAGAGGAGGACCACCGGACGGTTCACCGATAGCGACGAGGCGGTGCACAACAGCAATGACAGCGAGACTTGAGATCGCTCGAGGTATTAGAAAATAATCAGATGGCCGAGAATAAGTCACGTGTCTGTATCTAGATGTGACGTTAAAATACATCTTCGGTGAAACAAATTATAAGTTGGCAGTTGAATGAATTAATTTTACCAAATTCAGAAACACGTCTCTCGTTTTGGAATTTTTAAAAACTTCGATCATTTTCAAATCTGTCAACGCTGACCTCCCCTCCGTACGACAAGCTCGACAAAGATTGTGATTACTCATCACGTCTCTCGATAAAACTAGCAGTGTGCGTAGCATAAATAGGCAGCTAGACTGTCCGCCTAGACTCGAGGACTCAGCTTGATTATCGGAGTCATATCTGCGCGCGCGACTTCGCTCGCGTATATATGTATATATTCAGCAGCGGGCTTTCGCGTCACGAGAAGAAAACGAGGGGGGAGCCAAAGGGGCGGCCGCCACCTGGACGAATAACCTGATAACCGGTACAACCTGTTATGGGCACAGTGCGCTACAGATTTTGACCCGATGATGACCCGCGCGTCGGTCGACATCGCCGACCTCGGACGCGGAAGAACGGGCTAATGCCACCGCTATGCAAAACAGAAAAATCCGAAGAGAAACTCGCCACGCGTCGTCCTATGGGCAGGACACTCGCGACAGGGGGAGACGCATTAATCTGCCCGCGTACGGGACTCGTCAACCTGCAGAATCACACCTCAGACCTTTTCTCACACCAAGAGAGGGAAACTACACTCGCCATTCGTGACGCGCATACTAATGCTTGTGACAGATGAATCCTTTTGGTTTCGTATTTGACTGATCTTGTACGACGTGTCTATCGACGCAAAGTACGCGAAGAGTTATAATTAATATTTATAATATTAAAAATGTGTAAAAGAATATAGGAACTTGATCGATCTTGTATATCAGACTATCATAAGTCACACGCAAAATAAAACATTCAAAGTCACGATTTTTGAAATAACGCGTTTTGTAAAAGAAAACCGAGAAGATCGTATAAAAAGCGCTAAATTGAAAATAGAAATTTAAATGTAAATAGATAAATAAATTACGGACATTTTTGATTTAAACCTAGATTTCCTGATGGAAATCTTCAGTTGTTATACACAACAGTATACAAATAATTGAATTTAAAAGTATATCTTTAATTTATATTTTCAACAATACCGGTTGAAAATATTTAATAGTTAAGAAACCTGTTGAGCGTATCCTTACCTGTTCGTGTTTCTTCAGATAGCTAAGCCGCGGAAACGTCCTTTCGCAGAACTGGCAGGGATAGGGAGCGGCGGGGTTGTTACCATCGGCATTGACACCGACGTCGGTGTCAACCTCGGGTTCCGATGGAAAGCTGGTTGACGTCGGCGTTGCGCAGGAAGACGGTGTCTCACCGCGACGCGAGTTGAGACCGCCATCCTCGCTGTGCCACGAGGAACTTCCGGTTCCTAAAGCCTCTGCAACGAAAATAAGAAAAAAATATGAAATGCATTGGTGTCCTTTAAACTCGCTTTCATTGATTTTAAAAACTACTGATTCATCGAATAATTCTTCAGGGTCAAGTGTCGCAAGCGCGGGACCAGTTCTACATACAAGGCGACCTTACGAACTCGTCATGCGTACGCGTAACATTACGAATCTGGTCGTGCCTGTTACGCGTGTATTTTGTTCTCGTAACGAGCAGAGATGGTAAAACTTGTACCATTAACCTGAGCCTCGGTTTGCTCGGGCAAGTTCACGATAAAGTCCTGCGCAGGCCTAGATTGCTAGGCTAAATTCAACACAGGCACGACACCTCGTCTTCTTCGTTAAGTCCAGGTTGCTTGACACGTTTGTCATCTCTTTGGTTATGCAAGATTTTTCCACGTAATTTTTATAATCAACGTAATATAGCAGAGTATTCGTTCATCGATATATATACACGTATTTTATATAAAACAATATATTGTTATAAAAATGATTGAGATTGGTACACAAATATAATCTCGAGTCAGTGAGACAATTTGCCGACGCTGGCGGAAATTGCATATTGTAGCGTACACCTTCCAAGCGCGTAAACAATTCGGAAGTAGTGACCCCAGCGTAAAACGTCAAATGAGTCCGGGACAAAAGGTCAAGTAGGGAGGCCCCCGCGTCTCCGTCACAGAAAATCCGACTTATCCTCCTCGCCGTTGAGGGAGAGCGTGTCGCGCCGCTACTTCCGGCCAAGTGTCACGCCGGCTAATCACGAATAATTTATAATTGCCGGGAATGAGAGCTTAGAGCTCCCACCAACTCTCTCGCGGGATAGAGGCGAAGTGACGCGTGCTGCTCGTAAATGGTGGAAATGACTCGGCTAGTTGGCCGTTTCCTCATTTGTCGTCGGCCCCCGGCGATGGATCGACACCCACGAGTCGATTTAAGAGATTTTGCGGAATCCCCTAGTTTAACGCGCACGACAGAGAGAGATCGCCACCCAGAAGACGAGAGGCGATCTCGCAGTACGCCGTTCTCGAATGCTGCGTAAATCGCTCGCATCCTCCACCCACGCGTCATCCTCGCGCGAGGTTCGTCTCTTCCTCTTCCAGAAGGACGTCGCCCAGGCGCCACTTTTGCGCGCGCTCGTTATCTCGATGATCGCGTAATCATTTGAAATTCCAAGTTTCGACATATAAAAGAATGCATTCTTAATTTGACAAATATACATGTATGAATATTCTCATCCTCAAAAAATAAAACTCTCCCAGTTTAATTATTATTAATAATTAATTTTCAAATGTGTGCTAAGCAAAAAAAAAAAATACAAAGAGAATAAAATAATTCGTCATGTGAGCGACATTTGTGATCTATACTTCGAAGAATTTCTTTTTTCTTGTTGCACAACATGTGCGCATCCATCGGGGCATTCGCCCAATTGGCACAGTGACTGATTCACGCGTTCTTATGATTCTTCGGGGATGCTGAGAGAGTCGCGTTGGAGAAAGGCTGTCTGGGTGTGCAGGAACGTCGGTGACCGATCACCGCAGGCAATAAATATAAACTGAGCAGAAGAAGGAGGAGAAAGCATCCTACACCCAGATGACCGTTTCGCTTAAGTTTTTTTGACAAGTTAAGCTACAAAGATAGATGTGACGTATTTGTTGCTTAATCAGTTTGACATTAATCGGAGTTGAATAGTCATTTCGGGGCAAATTTATTTAAAAAAATTTTTAGGTCTTCTCCGACTCGGGATAAAATTCCAAGAGACATTTAATTGACCCATGACACTTTGCGCCATGCCAAGAAAGAGGAGCACGATGTCGGGGGTGGCTGCAAAGAAAGACTTCTTGATGGAGAGAACTCTTATTTAGTCTGTGATCGTGTTCAATCGGCGACGATGTGTCATCCGGGAGAAAATAGACGCATTTAACGGCGCGACCTGCCGATGCGTGCGTTGCCGACCTGTGTGTCGCATCGTCTCGCTGACGGTGCTGTTGGTCGCCTCATGCTCTCGCGACTATTTATAGAAGTGTTTCGACGATGCTTATTAATAGGGGCCCGACTTAACGCCTTCGTTAATTGTGACTTATGTTGGGCCGCGCGACTTGCGCGGATTTTCGCGCCATTGGCGTAGCGCGAATTTGCGACAGCGCTTGATCAAATTTATCTTAATCGTTGAAAGAAATCTCATTAATTTAATTTATCCCATCGCTTTAACTTTTCATCTGATTAGTGAAAAATCCTTAGAAATATGCGAGATAGATTTGACGACCCACTTTTCGAAAGAGCAAAATAAATGATCAATTCTTCGACGTTTTGCAATTAAATTATTAATTTTCAAGTTTAAAATACCTTTGCAATTTTGATTCTAAAATTATTAAAGCAAGATTTATTAAAAATTGAATAAAAAATAATATTTAATTAATAAATCTGTTTTTATTGCTGAAAATTCCATATCAATTTTTGACAGGAAAAAATCTATTTCAAATTGATTGAAAAAGTCTGCAGATGAGAAATGATTCGACAAACATGAGACACTCAGTCATCTATTTTTTCATTCTGATAGTATTGTTTATTGCTGAGTCAACACACTGGTAATGCGAATAACATTTATCATCGGTCGCTACAGAATTAATATTTTTTCTCGCTGCAGATTTCATAATTATAATTCAATGATTTCTGCTTATTAAAATATTAATGCAAGATCACTGATTCAGAGAAACGCTAAAGTTTCATATAATCGTTTCGAACGTCGGTGTGCTTGACACCAAACGCGCTGAATTTATTCGCGCGCGCGCTGTCCACTCGCAATTATGAAACAAAATTATCGCCGCTGTTACCGGTGACAGAGTTTAATAGCGCGTTCGTCAGAAAGCCATTTTGTATCAACTTGTTCTTGGCAAACGTCATCAATCGCGACGCGCTTAAAGGTGTAACACATATGCGTGTATGTGTTTGTGTACATGTGACTACAGATCGGATATTTATCGCGCAAGGATAAACATTTGTCACGGGGAGACTTGCGCGAGTAATAATATTTCACGTTGATTCTCTCTCGCCAGGTTCAATTTACACGCAACCGACGATTCTACGAGAACTTTGGCGAGAGTCCAAAAATCCTCAGATGGAGAAAAACTTTAGAAGTGAAGAAAGATTAGAAACCGGAAAAGGCTAATCCGCAGTTTAGTTCAAATAAATTTACATTCCGATGTTCAATTTGAAAACTTAGTAAATAATTGAGTGAATTATTTCTAAATTTAAATTATTTATATATTAGACTAAGGTAATGAAGAATTTCAAGCAGTAAACAACATATCATGCATATATCTGAAGAGTCAGGATTCTGCCGTGTGTAATGCCGCCACGTGTTGTTTCAACGAAGCATGATTAGTCAGCGACTCCTGACCGAGGCGAAAGACGAGAGATAAGAAACACAAGAAGAAAGAATAATCATGGTGAAAAATGTTGATGCTAAAAGCAGTGCAACGAGATGCACGAATTGTATTATAGTAACATTTTTCCGCTTATCTGTGCACTTTTGTGTGCACAATCGCAATTATTATATTAAAATAACAGCGGAAAATCGACACAGTGCTCAGCAGATTAACTGCTCGCAAACGACAAATTCTTTCCATCAAGGCTGTGTGGAAATACAAAGAATGTAAACACGGCTAAGTAGCGAGTTATTCATTGCGAGCCGTACATTGTCTCTGAAACACAATCATATTCGTTGTGTGTAAACTAATATCAACTAAATTTTATTTATTTAAAATTTTATTTTATTTCAAACACACCATATCGTTAGCTCTACTTAAATTTATGTTTCGTTGCATTTCTAATAAATTTTGCCGGAAACTGTAAATTTGTTAGAAAATTTCTCACGTAAATTTGATAAAGTTTAACGGTGAAATAGACGAAACGAGAATGAAGGAATGAGGTAGTGCCAAACTTTCGTAAAAAGTAAAACTAAATGAAAATTAGGTGAAAATAGATAGAGAAGAGAGCCAACGGGAGAAAGACAGAAAGGAAAATTTACGTTTAGATCATTCAGACCTTTCGACTTATGATGCTCGTCCTGTGACGGTTCCTTGTGCGCCTGGATCTTCCCTATCAGCAGTTCCAGTCGCGAGCTGTTACCTTTGAAGAGCATCCTGTCTCGAAGTCCTTCAAGCGTTTCGAAAGTTTGTTAATGTTCCGGTATTCACCGATGATCAGTCTTTTCGATGGCTCTTCAACTTGTCACCAAAAGTCCACGTCGATCGTGTCAAGTATCGAACTAAATTATTATCACCGAAATATCAATATGAATATCCAATATCCAGCTTGGATATTATTAAATATAAAAATCAGATTGCTGAGAAATCGATACAAAGATTTAACGATTTAAATTAGCTCAAGCCACGTAAATAAGATCGATAAACCGACTGACACGTTAAGGGCTAACTCATCGCAATGAGATATCGATCCAGATGATAGTATTGTCCATTAAAACGTCACCACGGATCCACGTTAATTAACAAACATCTTCTGATGGTCCCGATTTAAGGCACTCTCTATTGTTCTTAATGTCTTCTTGATATATCTTCAAAATAATTTATTCTCATCAAATTATGCACATTAAATTTCAAAACGGAAGAGCACAACGTCCCGATTCGGTGATGACTCAATCGATAAATACGCCTTCCAAGCATGCGTATCCTATCATGTCCTTCGATCACCTTTCGATCCGGTGTTCCGTGATCTTCGCTGAGTAATCATTGGCACTTGTGTTAATGTGCTTCGATTATATCGTACATCCGCGCTGGGTTCCTCTGCTGGATCCTATCGGATAACTCTGGATCGCACGGATCGGCGATCGATCCACCGTCGATCGCGATACACCGAGAACTGCGAGTCTCGTCAGCCGATCCGGCATCTCGGGCGATCTCGAGGCGAGCGCGCGCTCCCACAAGGGGGTCCCACCCGTGACTATTATCGCGCGCGATGCAAAGCAACGCACGCATACATAGATGTACACACATGTACGAGAGGTAGGAGTCGTCCTCCGTCGTGAGTGCCGGGAGAAACGACGGCAGGAAGAACACGGGGAGAGGGTACGTCGAAAAGCCGCGCGAGTGAGGCCAGGGGTCCCCTGGGAAACCAGCCACCGCATTGGACGGTAGGCGGGATCACACACTAACGAGAGTACACCCACCTTCCGAGAACCGCCACCCGGCACCTATTTAACCTTTCCTCGTAACCGGCTCGTCCACCTAATCCTCCACCTCCTCGCGCGCAGATCTCGAAAAGAATACTCGCGAGCGGGCAGTCGCCGCGCTGCTCTTACGCTACGCGCGCGATTCATAATCGTAGCGAGTAGTTGGAAGTCTTCGTTCATGATCGTAACGAGGTTGTAGATTTTATATTTCCTCTACTTGTGAGAAGCTTTGAGTCTATATTCTTTATTAGAGAAAATTTTGACGAGGAAACGTCCGTCACGTTAGTTTGACTTTTGCGGAAATTTGAAGAAAATGGAGATACGATTCTCTTTTCAGTTTTATGATTACAACATTAATAAATCTCAAAATATTTTTAATTTGATAATACGTATATATATCTATTCTGCATTTAAATGACATACTTTAGATATTTTTGTCTTCAGAAATTATATTAATTAACAAAGAAATTAAGAGAATGAACAAATGAGCACTACAGCCATAGAATTTGAGATATGCCGCCTTCTGATCTCTTGATTTTATTAGTTAAGTATAGCTATTTATTTATTTATTTATTTATTTATTATTATTGTTATTATTAGATGACATTTCGACGAATGTAATGACCGTCGCGTCTGTTGGAGTTTCTTAATCGCGTGTAATCGTTTTTTCTGTTTTTGTTCTATCTATTTCTTCGCACCCAGCGTTGCGATTCGCATGAATAATCGAACTCTCCGCTTGTCAAATTCACGGCGATTTCGTACGCAAGGCGACTCGTTACCCGCGGCTAATGCTACAAAAGCACCGGTCAGGAAACTTTCAACGGGGTATTCAACCACAAAAGAGTTCCGTTATTGGCCGGTTAGCGTCGTAGAAAATGAGTTCGTTCTGTCCGCAGAAAATCGCTCGCGTTATTCAAAAAAATCAAGCAGTCTTAATAAACCTAAATTTTGATATAAAAAATTAAATTATAAAATGTATAAACTCTGCAATACGTTGTTACATGTAATTACATGTAATTATATTATCATACTAATAAATATTTACTTTACGATAATTATTAAAATATAATTCAAATCATAAATATAATAATCATTATAATTATTATTCTACAATTCGTACACATTATTAAGCGAATAAAAACACGTGCTTCGCATGAGCTAATTTTTCGATGTCGCTGGCCTGTTGCGAGCTTGACGCGACAGGGTTCCAGAAAAGACTTGAAAAACACGAAGAAGCAGGAAGCGAAGAAACAAGAAAGGGGACAGTGGGGAGTGAAAGGTGAATTTTGGGAGAGTGACCCCCCCGCGAGTCCTGTGAAATCGCGCGGAATGGATTCTCACACGCGGCTGGAGCTCAGTACCACCTTATGGTGTACGCAACGACTCCCTATGGGGACTCATAAGGTGCGCGACCCGTAATCCGGTAAACCATGCCCAGGAAGGCGCCAGCGCCCACCCATCGCGATTATTTATCTCATTGCGATCGTGACATTAGGTGGTCCTCGACGTCTTTCTTCTTCTTCGCTTTTTTTTCTACGAGTGAGCTCCGCCACCTCCGGTGTTCCGATCAATACGTCAACGTAATTCCTGCGGCGACGCGTTTATATTTTTGTAGTATACGCGTCACGTTCCCAAACATATGTTAATAGCAAAGCATGTGGCTAGGTTGTTAATATTAGGAAAAGTTATGATTAGTCGGTTGTGTCGAAAGATAAGAATCTTACAAGATTTCTTTACATATTGTCCAGTTATTTTTTACGTGTTTGTATAGGATGTTCCATGGCAAGTTGCTGAAACTAATTAGCTGCCATTTTTAAACGCACATAGGAAGCAAGATAAATAAAATATCGTTTAACTGAGGACATTAGACAAACACATAAAAAATAACCGACATTCTTCGTTTAATTTCAAATGGCATTCATCAGAATTTTAACTTGAGGTAATGAATACCTGGTGCAAAAAGCAAGACTATTGTAGTTATCTAAATGCTATTTATTTCAACCGACTCTGGGATAAAGTTTTTTGAAATATTCTCGTGATGGATTTGTCATCGATTTCCATAGTTTGCGGTATCAATCCGCGGTACGATCGATTTATCGCCGAACTGGACCGGATCATGCAAACGAGTTCATTCGAGCCTTGATCGAGACGAAAACCGTGCGATCGGTCCCACCGAGGCAAAACCGTAAACCGAAGCGGTAAAAAGTGGAGAGACGCTGCTAGAGAGATCGTCATCTTAGGTACGCACGTCCGAGCATGCTCGAGTTGTCTGAAATGGTCTGTGATGATATCTTTATCTGCGATTATATTTATGTCACACGATTTTGTACTGCTCCGAGACTTTTCAGATCCCGTTATGATACTCGCGATGCAAAAGAGTGGAGAAAAAAAAGAATCGGTTTATCGGTCACCGGATATTCAATTTATCACGGATCAGTTTGATTTTAACGTGCACATTTTTAGAAAAAAATATATATACAAGACAATAGAGACAATGCAATTATTTACTAAATTATGCGAGAATGTAGAGCATATATCGCGACGAATTCTCTGAATTTAAACGACGAGTCGTTGTGGGAGGCACCTTAATAAGGCGCATGTGCGAGTGAAGACGATGTTGCGAGCGACTCCGCCTACGCCTGCTCCGTCCGTGTCTCGCTCTCTCGTCGTGGTGCACGCGTTTTCCCTGCCGCATCCACGTTCTCACACGTATACGCCACGCTGGCCGGCACGCTGGCCTGAATCGCGTGCTACCACCCACGTCAACAACGCGCGCTCGTCGGCTCCCACCACCGGAGGATGCGCCACGCGCGATTTCATTCATAGCACCGGTGATCCGCGCGCGTATTAAGCGATGTTCACACATCGCGGCTCGTCAATGAGCCAGTTGTGTTTTATTTCACGTTCGATTAATGAAAAAAAAAAACGTTTCCTTATTATTCTGCTGCATTGTGCGTAATATATTAAATTTAATTATTATAAATTTTTAAATTTTCGTAAAGCGTAAAATATACATTAGAGTGATTCCACGTATTGCAATTTTATTCAATATCGCGTTTGTGGTTGAATGGTTCTTGGTTGAGAAGCATCTCTTGATGAGACCTAACATCACCACCTCATTTACATGAAATTTACTTTCATTCTCATTCGATTCATGATAGGTTACGTGCACCTTACGACAATTCGTAAGACGCATCTCGCCTGCGGAAGGCCCGCCGCATCACCGCGTTACCGTTTCGCTATTTGCGGTCGGCGGATCACACGGAAACCGTAGGATCGCGCTTCGATATTCCCGAAGGCCTGTGAGAACGCTTGCGACCAAGAAGGTACGACGTTCCTTCATGAATTTATTAGATTGAGACTTTCTCACGCGAGTATCTCGGAGGAGACCTGCGAGACGCGGAAGCGACGCGTCGTTTCCGTCGTTCTCATGACTTTCTCGGAGTCTGTCTCGGAGAAACGTGAAAAACGGTAATTATTTATTTATTATGGAATATTGGAGACGCGTCTTTGTTGATTTTAGTGAAATTATTGTCGAGTCAAAAAATTTAATATTCCAAACTTTTACGTTTACAACATTGCAAAATTTGTTTAACTTTTTAATTTTCGCAACTTTTAATTAAAACTCAATCAAAAATTTTGAAGAGTAGATCCTTGCTTGCCTGGAATCTTAAGTCTCTCTTAAGTCCGATTGCACCAAGAAACCGTAAATTTAAACCCGAATGGAAGCGTTTCGAGGTAACTTCCGACCCAAGATCGAGACGAGTTATGCGACCGACAGGAAGTGAGCTGACCGGAAGAGCCGGTCCTCTTAGACGATGCACCCTCGACCGTTTGTCTTAGTGGAGAATAGGCGAGATACCCCGTTAAAGTCTTAAGCTACCGAAGCATTAACGAACCGGATTTTAGCGGTGAAAGACAGGAAGTTATATCTTCCGGAGTCGGACACTATGTGATAATGCGTTAACAGAAACTTGGATTATTTATCTACATACAATTGTCTGCTGACAACAAATGAATGCGATAATGCAATGCGTCATCTCAAATAAAACGTGACTAATTGTTAAAATAAGTAATTATAAGTAATTATATGTGAAATTGCTATGAATAATAATTACGCAAATAAAATATAAAGTAATAAAATAATTATACAAATCTATATCAAACAAACATAGTCAAATTATTATAACAATCTAAAATTATAATATATATGTATATTATGCAGATACAAATATATCATTATTAGGCTCTCTCTTTTCTTACGTCGATCGCAATATTTAGATATTTTGTTGGATCTATTAGAATGGACCATATTAAATGTGTAACCCGGAAAATTTGTCAAGGACCATGATACCGCTAGCATTTGTTACGGGTCGGATTTTGGAGAAGCCCTTTTCAAACGGTTCAAGAATGACTAGCGCATCTAATGCAACCCCCCTATGTAGCGTGTCTAATGGAAGAATTCACACGATATTGAAGACTAAATGATTTTGTCAGAGAGCAGATTGGTTTTTCGTCCCTTACGCGTATCTGAACGCACGAGGAAAATTCCGATAGCTAGTTCCCAGTAGATTCGGTAGTGTAAACCTATATAAGATACCGAAGCCTAAGGTATTTCCGATAAGGTATTTCCGATAAGATATTTCCGATAAGGCGCGGCTTCCTTAATGTGTATTCGACTCGCGTATATCTTTTTTTTTTATCCGTTCCGACAAACAAGCCGTCAGCGCGACATGCATATCGTTGTGGCCTTTGATTA